TACTATAGTGGGATTGTATTAGTAAGTACCACAGTAGAATATTTAAATGCTGCATTGTATGAGTAGAATACAAGTTTCTGATCCCTCACAGTTGCAGTGTATTCAGCACAGAAAGCCTTGCACTATAGCTTTGGGTTTGTGTTTGTAACTTCAGGTGAGAGAATAGACTTATTACTGATATCATTAAGAGAGATCTGAGAGCTGTGCAAGGTATTGAAGCTTGCATAAGACTGTAGTAGGTTTTGAATTGCACTCTAGCCTGAGAATAAGAGAGCAGTGTCTGAAAGGCACTATCTTCAGTTTTTAAGGCATTTGTGACATAAGGCACTACAGGTGGCAGAGGTTCAAACCCTTTGGGTCTTTTGAATGGCATTTTGTTGAGTTTTGTGTCTCTGGATCACATAAGTTTGAATCCTGTGGGTCTACAATTAGTTTGGAAGCTTGTGTACAGAGGTCTAATCTCTTTGGCACTTGTGGATGTGTTTATAAAGTGTTTCTGCTTAGAGTATGAAGCTTTGAGTCATGTATTATGTGTTTTAGAGATTTTGATTTGATCTGAGCTGTGCTTAAAACCTTTTTGAGAGCTTGTGGGATTGTTTCAACATATTGTAGTGAGCTACAGTATCTTTGTCTTGAGGCTCAGCAACATCTGTTGCTACCTCTTGTTTTGAATGAAAAGCTTTGAGACTTAGAGAGATTTAGGACTGTTATATGTGCACTATTGCTATTTGCATGCAGTGGATTCATTGGAGAAGACAATTATATTTTCTGTTACTACTCTTATTGCATTATAATCTCTCCATGAACTAAGAGTATTATGTGGGTGTTGGTGTGGGTGTGATCAGTGGATAGCTCTCTGCTGTATCTGTTTTCACCTTGCATGCACACAAAACCTCTTCATCATTGTATAGGTCCTGAATGAGTCAGTTTGTTGTTGGTCAGCCCTCATACAGTATGATGTCTTTTTGCTTCTCAGACATTTGCAGTGTATCTTTTTGTCATATATTTTGTAACACTATATGTTGTACTTTGCAATTAACAGTGTTTATGCATGTTTCTAACCTGCATGTGATTAAGTAAAAGTTTGATACCAAAGATAAAGTTTTATGCAGGCACTTGTCACTCTTATTGCTAAGTCATGCTTTGTGACTTTTATCTCTCTTTCTTTTATCTCTCTTCTCTCTCTCTCACTGACTTCAAGGTGATGACTAAGAGTCTATGTCAGCTTCATCTCACAACTTTGTTCTACAGATGTAAGTGCCATCCTTTGTGAAGAGTTCAGAATACAGCAACTGACAAGGTCTATGGTGAAGTGAAGATCTTGGAGTACAGCTCTATCTCTGTTATTGACTTGATGACCTCTTTGGTCTTGTGTACACCTAACCCCAACAGACATCAAGCAGTGATATTCTTTCATGTGAGGAGAGCCTTACTGAATGGCTACCACCCATCTCATATCTTATACTCATAGGTGCAAAGCAGCATGCAGAGTAGCCAGATACTTTGCAGTCCTGGTCCTTCATCTCCATTATATCATGGTTCAATTCTTATCCATGTCTGTGTTATTGAAGCTAATGCTAGTCAGATTTGAAGGCATACTCTCCACCCATGGAAAACTATAAGAAAACATGATAGACTTGAATTAGTGGCAAAGGATGTTGGGGTCTTGTCAGATGTTGGACTTTGATTTGCCAGATATTAGAGGACTGTGCTGGCCTGACTGAGTCAGCATTTCCCAACCCTCATATGTAATCTATTCAGCTGGTCAAAGCTGTCCTTCCTTCAACCTTCAAACACAACCTCCTAATACACAGACACTACAGATCTCTCCAACAGCTGAACATTTTCAAAGATGAGAGTGGCATCTGCTTCACCATCTGCATGTGCAGTGTTGGTGCTTCCAATATGTTCTCCACTGCATGTCTTGCTATGATTATTTGCTGTCTCACTAAATTCTGTTGGTGCTAAATTGCTTGAAAGATCAATAAGGACAATGCTACACCCCACTAGAACACTTTGGCCCATCAGCCTCACTTATTCTATACTTGGCAAGATCACTGTTAGAGGAATCATACATCTGAAGCTGCTAAGAGAGGCTCATACATGGATGGACCTCATTTGAGGGGTTTTATGATGCATTGTTCTCTCTGCAAAAGACTGGACCTTATCAGAGTGGATATGCTACTGCCTAAAGTGGAGGTTGTGACCAGATACATGAAGTGAAGCATGGTGCTGTAATGCCTCATGCATCTCTGATAAGCCAGCTTCATCTCATTCTGCAGCTGGCCATAGATGAACTGCAGTGGATTGGTTATTTCAGCATTGTGTCATGTGTTGAGCCACTAACAAAAGAAATCACTCACATTTGTGATAAACAGGACCACCTCATCTCTGACCTTGTCACATCCCATCTGCAGTCAATCTGCAGTGAGATTCTTCCAGTACTGATGGACAGTCTTCAAACAGGCCTTTTGCAATCACCATACCTGCCCTTGATCATATAGATAACCTTTCTGATGAAGTTCTTTTGGCATCTCAAAGTTGTCCAAGTTGCAGCCTCACTTGCACTCTGTGTAGCTGCTGAGCATGATGAGCATGGATGAGACTGCAAGTATCAAAAATGAGGTTCAATTCACATGTCAAAGAGAGCCACTCCATGTTTGTAATTGCATTTGGTCTCAGATTAGACTACTTTCATGATCTCATCAGAGTTGACTTGGCTGCTTTTTAGCTTGCCATTTCTGAGGAAGTCATTGAGTAATGTGAGAGGTGGCATGAGAGACAGAGACAAAGAGAGTTAAGCATGTGAGGAGGATGAGTGGGAGAGGGAGGGTTTGAGAGAGTAGAAAAACAAAAGCTCAGAAGAGGATCCATTATAGATACAACCAGCAAGCAAGCAAGCACAGCATCTCAACTCCAGCAGGTCTCTGGACTTAATGTGTGTGCAGTTATTGACATGTCCATGAACAAAGATTAAGAGATCCAGCTGTGGCATTCCAGACATCAGGAATTTGCATTTGTCTTTGCTATTACCTCTGATCTAGATTGAGGTGGTATTTGTTCCTGTTCATGATTTCAACCAAAGTGGAAGAAAAATGTTCTGTCTCTGTCTATGAGAGTAATTTACAGAATAAAATATTGAGAAGCTCTGCTCCCAGAGGCTCCTCCAAGGCTCTGCCAGAGCCCTAGAGTTTCTCATGACTTTGCCTCAGTTGGAGGACCTATCTGAGCTGGAGGCTGTGCACTATGCATATGACAACCATCATGATGTTCTACCATATTTGGTTTTTCATTTAAGATGACAATGCCATACTCTGCTCTGCTCTCTGCTCATTGGACATGGCCCTGAGCTAGAACCTGTAGTCAAAGTAGTCTGCTCAAGAAATCAATAGTTTGTTCTAAGCTCTTGCACAGACTAGAGTAGCAGTTCTTTCTGATATCATAATTTCATACATGTTCCACTCTTTGCTTGCTAAGATAGCTTTCTACTATTTTCTATCCACTTTGCTGTGACATACTGAGCTATGTCTTCTCAATGAAAAATAGACAGAAGGTAGTAATCAACAAGATAAAGTCCATTTTTGTCTATTGTATTGTAGTTGACATTTTGGTAGCTTCACTTGAAGTGATTATTGTACTGAGAAAAATATAAATACAATGCCTTTCTGCCATCTTTCTCAACCATCTCACTTTCTTTGGTTCAAGTCATAGCTGCATTACATGGTTTAGCCAAGTATCAGTCACCAAATCCTTCTGCAAACTTCTCAGACAGTTTCTTTGATGAATTGATGTTTTTAAGTATTGTGGATCTTGACTACCCTGGAATTGCACCAAGATCTTCATTGTCAAACTGTCTGAGATACTGACGTCCCATCTACTGCATCTGGCATGCTAATTCTACTTAACAACATAATTTCCAATAGTGCAGATCTGGCCACTACCATTCAACATCTTCCAACTGCCTATGAACAAGGATATCATTCTGTGAATATCACTATTCATCTGGATAACAAAACTCAAACACAGAAATTTCATTTCTCCAAGATATGCTCCATGTTGTGAGCTTGATAATTTAATCTAATAATTTACAGTTGTGCCTGTGTGTCATTATCAACAATTATTATGAGGGTGTTTCTTTAGCAAAATGCCTTGTAAATTCAATTCTGACATGCTCCTCTTGCCTCAATACTGTCAGCAGCACAGTCAAATCCTTTGCATGCACTCCACCTGAAATCATCAGCACCTATTCAGTCTAGTAATGATGTAGTGCCTGCTCACACTGTGTTCTATGAATGACATGCTGCCATTAAGCCTCTTTTGCAGGGTATTCAAACTCAGAAACATCTTGATGATTTATTGGAATGGCTGCATGATATCAGGTATCTAGGTTCTAACTGCTTGTCTTACAGGAGGATTTACTCACTGTCTATCTAGATGGCAAGATATCCAGCAATCAAAGCAGAACAGACTACAAGATCTATCAGCTCTCAATCCAGTTGGTCATCCACATACTTAGTGGCTCACAGATGCTCTGGAAGATCATCCTTGTGAAGGTGGAGGTGCCTCACACCAAGATCCATAGGCAGTGGCTTCTGAGAATGCAGTGGTATCTGGATGCTGGTGTGGCTATTGCTGGATTTAAGGCCATACTCATTCTAACTGCCCTAGTCTGCAGAACTTGAATGCTCAGTAGTTAATGTATCAGTACAATAATCCTGAAGGACAAATTCCATCTTCCCATTGTTTCATCACACATGCAGCAACTTTCCGTGGAAGCTGCCACAGCAGTGCTCCTTGCTGGGGAGGAGTAGGGCCCCTGATTAAATAATGTGAGGAGCTCCTGGGAGCGGGGCTCCTCAATAGTTTATTCCATAATTTTACCGGTAATTAACCTCGGTGCATCTAAATCAGATTACCATCAAATCGGGCACGTCTGAGAAATAAAGCAACCGATCAGGCAAGTTGATTTTCAAGTGGCTGTGCCCTTGCTCCCTTTTCCTTGTACTCTCACTGTCACCATTTTTACAATTGTGAATGGAAGGCCATTATGATTGGATGAAAGACCATTCTAGGCCGGCAAAGGCTTTTCTTTCCTTTTGTCCATCATTAATTACACTTCGAGTGGAAGTTTCGTTGTCTTGTCACCGGCAATAATGCCCACTTTGCTGCGATGTTCCTTATAAATACTGTGTCCGAGCAACGTTCGCCCACATTCCGCAAGCTCTCTGGTTAGAACTAGTCATGTCGACCTCATTGAACAAGAACATCGACATCTACGCCTACGAATTCCTCCCAAACCGTGCATTCCTCTCTCTTGCTTGCCTGTCCTTATCCTAACGAGCGCCGCCCTCTAGGCTCTTTCCGCAAGCTACCATTTCGCTGTGGCTACCACCACACCAGCTACCCTTATCCCCGGCCAGAGTGCACTCGATATCAGCTGACGAACCTCCGCGCGCTTGGGAAGGAATACCATGTGTGGTACTCGGATTCGCAGCCAGGGACGTTTGTGGTGTTCAAGTTGGGGGAGATGACGTATAGAGATATCACGGAGAAGGACCTGACGAGGATCGACGCCCTGCTGGACAGCCGGAGATGACTCGAGTCGCATTTTTTTCTGTAACTGTTGCCGGGTAATCCTGCCTTAGAGCTCCATGCCTGAGTCTGTTTTGATTGCCGGATTTCCAGTCAAAGTAACATCTTGTCTCATAAAGAAGCGGAGTGTTTTGGGTGCTTTCATTCGCTCGGCTTGTAGTACCTCGCAGTACCAAGGAATCATGCATCGGGTATCGTGAGCCTGATTGCTGATTTCTTCAGAATGGAGATGAAGAGCAAAGCCCTTCTAATATTCTGCTGCGCGTGCTTTGAGATAGGGGCAGAGTGAAAGGTAATAACAAACACATATCAACTTTGCGCCACTCCTGTCTTCCGGTCATCGGCAGACCGTCTATGCATCGGATTCATGATAGTGTCTGCCCTCATTCTGGGACGTCAATTTGCTAGAGAATGGTAGAAAACGAGATGCATTCTTGTAGAGCTTGGTGCGTCGGACGGTTTGCTGCTGCTTCTACGAGTTACTTGATATCCACCTTGCCTATCTAATCACATTTTGAATGAATTACGCGTGTAACTGGTAGCTTCGCGTGGCGCCCCTCCCACCAACTGGATGCTGAATTTCTTCCATTAGTATCAAAGGAGGGTGGGAATCACATTTGTTCCGTAAGAAGTGGAGGTGCTGGATCAGAAGGCTGGGACGAAGTGGTCATTTCAGGCGCACCCCACGGGGTTGATGTGCATACTACTCTGGGTGCATTGCGGGGCTTTCTGGCAACTATGACATGTGTGGCGACTCACCACAGGTACTGTTGTATTTTCTTTGCCTTTACGTCGTACAAAGAACTATCATTATTTTTTTGTGATGATTCATAAGGTCGGCATACACGTGTAACCAGATCTTTTTGTTACTCTGGAAATCGTATCTGTATAGCTGTTGTCGAAATCATACCAGCCTGGTATCCTGAAGTGACGGAAGAAGGAAATCCCTTTCACCCCTTGTTCTTTTGCCGACTGAGCAGCTATTTACGGCAATATCCGGATACTCCCCTCTACTCACCGTCGTTACCGCACCGCCCCGACTCTTTTTGTTTCGGTCTCGAAGAGTAACAAAGGATACTGTTATCCTGAAGAATGTTCGAGTAGGACTGCTTCCTCATAAAAAGGTAGTCATACAGTGTATCTGTCCATCATCTTCTGACTGCACGAAACTTGAAGGATGTCGGGAGCTCTCAACGAATCCAAGAATTCGCGCCAGAAGCGGAACCGTTCAACAGTCAAGGCTGAGCCTACCGATGAAGACGACGCTCTCGTCGCTGTCAAATTGTCTCCTGACCACGGCTGGCAGCATCCTGCCGAGCTCGACTATATCGACGCCGGTACGATGTCCAAGGCTACGATTATCGAGTATCTCATCACGCACTCATTCTCCGTACCCCCAAAGCGTAACCACTGGGCAACCATCACCTCCGCAGACGAAACGACGACGGTGATCCCTGCCGGATACCGGATACCCCTCCTGTTCGCGGCCTACTTCCAATGGACGTCCCTTCAGCTCGTTCTAGGCTCGGGAGAGTGGGATCAATTCAAGTCCGGGATCCTCCATATCTCCCGGCTGTGCGATAGATTTTTGGAAGAGGCGAGGGTGGCGATGCACGGGGGGATGATGAAGGGATGGAGATGCCCTACATTTGATAGGGTACTGGTGAGGTACCACCTGTGTCACCTGCTCTCGGACCCAAAGAGCGTGAAAGAGTTTTGGGAGGCGTATGGGGAAGTGGAATATGCCAATGATGTGGTCAAGTTTGGTACGTGGCTTATCTTGGTTATGTAATTTCGGTTGGCTGACTGGCTGGAGACTGGAAACGGTGGGCTTTGACAGGGCACAGAGGCTTCAAGCTTTCGGAGGAAGAGATTAAAGAGGGGGTTGGGCTGGGTAAGTGGCTGCATAGGCTCAGGGAGAGTGACGGAGACTGGGTCTGGGATACGTCGCCAGACTCTACGGGCCGGCGGGCGATGGAATGTTTGGAAGAGTGGAGAAAGACAAAGGTCTGGCCAACGACTACGCCAGTTCCCGACGAATCCACTTCCAAAATTCCCAAGCCTAAAACCAATGATCCTATTCTTCCCCCCTCTACTAAGTCTATTTCTCATCCTCCTTCCACTCCTCCTGCAAACCAGGATATCCTTCAATTCCTCAAGGCTCGCATAGAAGAGATAAAAGACCAAGAACGTCGCATTACTGCACTCGAGGCCGACCTTGCCATGCTCAAAACGACTAGGACAAGTACTTCACCGATGCCGGCCTCTGAATCAGAGCCGGAGTTTATCCCAGCTGCGAATTTTCCCAATCCTGCGGATGTGGATTGCGCATCGAGTTTCTGGCAGGATCCATTGAAGAGGTTTTTGTATGTTGACGGTTTAGAGGAGCCCGAGGCCGAGGATGGCGATGTGGTTATGGAAGATGCCTCCGTGTCGACTGGGCCAATCAAGTCGTGGCGCAAATTCCAGAGGATGCGTGGGTGAGCGGCGCTGGGCGTGGTATTGCTATTATTATAGATTCTCTCATCCTGTTGTACTAAATGACTATCCGTCTACGTATCTGATGTTGGCACCGAGTCCATACATCATCTTTAGCAATGACGGGAAATACTCTGTCGTCCGATTCTATGCTAATGTCAAGAGTCGGCGGATGAGGTTAGCTGTTTACCGCTAGCTTCCTTCTGCAATGATTATCTTTCGTAGTCATCAGTCCAGTTATCGGCTGTTCGCATCAACGGATCCTCTGTATCAGCTCATTTGTCCACGGCATTGTGTGGGAATGCCAAGAACAAGTAATATGAATATATCGACAATTCACTGGCCTCACTTCTTACACAATCTCTCTGCAAATACTCTTGATAATAACTTGACGACGATCCCAGTTCACACAATGTCCATGGGGCAGAGCATCTCCCACCCTCCCCCCCTAGTGATGCGTGATATGAAAAGATGCAATCTTCTTCTATTGTCGTGTGAAGATAGATCGTCAATTTGGAATAGTTACAGCCAGAGGGCAGACATTATGCTACCGGTGATTGTGGCTTTGTCCACAATTATGGATCATTCCAGTCTTCTTCAAAGTGTGATGCAGATTCAATACCATCTGCATAGATGAACGCCGGGGATATCACCAAGATTTGATTTCGATTTGAGCGCGGGAAAGAAGTATCATTCACCGGCGGTCCTCATGTTGCTGTTGCCGTCGAGCAAGATTGATCATGGCCTACATAGGCTACATTGAAATTTGAGTCAGTGTAGAGTAAACGGTGCATTACATACGAACGAATAGAACCAAGTCTAGTCCAGTCGTCGTCACAAACCTCTGTAAGCAGTGGAGAAAGAGGCAGCCTGTCAGTCTCCGCAAGAAGCCTGTACCACTGAAGCCAAACCGGAAACACGGGCCATGTCAGGAAGAAATACGACGTCGCTTTCCTCTCTTCCTTTTCTTTACTTCATTGGTCTGAAAGAGTTATTATTGTTTCTTTCGGTGTCGTCGACTCGGACAGCATCAACTTGGAAGGCTGTTAGGGGTTTCGCGTGCGTCTTCGGCGCGACTAAAAATCCCTCAGTCATCAAAATCCGGGTTTAATCATTACTGTGCAGACGGACAGACAGACCTGTGCTATCCTCGAGTCGCCCCGATTGTATTTCGATGCCATATCAACTCAATACTCGATGATCCTGTCAGTTATTTGACAACTATGGGATCGAATAATCATTGTGTCCGCAGCATGGTGACGGGTCATTCCTGTCTATTCACACGTCCATCGTACGTAATATTCGGTTTTTCTATACAACTGCGCTGAAGAACGACTCGCTTCCAGTAGTCCCTCAGATCATCCCCGACAGAGCTTAGCCATCAAATGATCATCTCGTTCTAGCTGATATCTGTCTGATTTTTATGCTAGAAGACGTTACAATACGACAGAACCTGTGTTCATGTAGAGTTCTGACTGTCTACGTTGAATGACCATCATGGTAATTCTAGTTGCTATTGACATAGATTTTGACAATCCTATAGCGATACCTAGTTAAAAGGGAATTCTTCCACCGATTATCGGTAGTTCACTAATCTTGACCAGCTGGCTGTCATGGCTTTCTTCCTCTTTTACGGGTACGCCAAGTAACCTCATTCCATATGACAGTAGACCAACATTTACTAGGCTTTTAATCACATTCATGCTTCAAGTCTCCGGTCTCCCTATCACAATCTCAACCGAACACATTCCTCGAGCAATCGGAGAGAGCATGGTTTTGCTAGCATGGGAACCGCAATTTCCAGAATGCTTCCATCTGGTTTCGTTTGAGCCACGCGTCACCTCTGGCAGGAGACGTGAACGGAACTTAGCGGAGAACCTTCTCTCTCATGATCTTTTCATTTCATCTCGTGTTGCAGGGTACGTTCGGGAAATATATCCCATACATACACAGCCGAGTAATGATGATTCTCTGCAGCATACGCCACATCGACACTTTGTGCGGCGGGTTACTTGCGCTTCGTGAAATATCGTCCCATGCTTATATCGTAAACGAAGGCATTGGGACCACCGGGATACAGGCTCGGAGTGCAGTATTCGAAGAATTCAGGAATATCAGCTATAGAGACTTAGAAGAGACCTCGCTACGCGCAGTAAATGCCAGTGGAGGCACTGTTATAAAGTGTCGGGATGGCGCAACTGCGACCGGAGGAACCGCGATGAGCGGAAACGCTACCACAAACGGGGACGATGGCGGGACCGCCACCAGCGGAAATGCTTCGACAACCGGCGAGGATGGCGGAACCGCAATTAGTGGAGATGCCATTGCTGGGGACAATGGAAATGCGACTAGTGGTGACGCTATAAATGGTGCGGTTGGCGGAACTGCCGTCAGCGGAGACGCTATAGTAGATACAGTAGAGGGCGCGTCTGTAACCCCTACCTCTGCGTAGGTTTAGTTCTATTCTATTCTACGAGTATTTCCGCTGAGTGCCTTCCTTATAGAACAGCAGCTTCAGCGGCTGCATTGCCAAGTCTTCACCATACCAGCGCATCGGTAATCCTTGGCAGCACCATTGGATCATTGGCCTCAGTGGGAATAATAGTTGTACTAGTAATACTGTGGTGTCGGCGAAGGAGCAGGTTCAGAGACAGCACGATCCCCAAGGTTGAAAGTCCAAGAATGGATTCCAGACCTGCGTCTCTTAGCTCTCCCATCTTAGCGGCTTACCCATATCCTTTCGCACCAAACAGCGGCTTTCCCTTGCCTTCTGGCGAAGGCTTGCCTCAGACAACGGCGGCTTCGCCTTCTAGATGCTCTTACTTGCGGTCAAGAGAGGAAGGAAGGATTCCGGTGCGGGAAGATTCAACGCCGTCGACGGCCGAGTCGGTGGATACTACAAATGGTGAACCCGCTCCCCCAGCATATCAGACATCCCATTAATGGGAGGACACGATCCCTCCATCCACATTTCAACCTTCACCATTATTATCGGCTCCACTGGCAACGAGTTTCGTCCAAGAATCTCTCTATTTATTTTCGGTTATGGACTCATATTGGTGATGCGACTTTATTTTTGTTTATTAGTGAGCTTCTACTGTCTGAACTGATTCATAAATGCCGTTCCGGTTCTTGGACAGTCTCGTAGGACAGTATGTCCATGACCCATTATTCTTTGTCTATGCTTTAGTGGATCATAGTACATTGAAAAATCCTGCTCTGGATGATACATCTATTTTAGCATATATGGGACGCATTTGTTAAGCCACCGACTCGGGGGGGGGGAATGAAAACTATCATTAGTTTGAACGTTTCCAACATGCTATCGCATCTCAGTCCTAGTCTCTCCACGAAGATACGTGAAACAAATGGATGACTATGCAAACTCAATAAACACATCTAGAGCTTTCTCGGGGTCATCCCAGTGCACCTGCCGTAATGAATATTAGTACATTTGAAAACTGTGAGTAGGGACTCTATGAAAAACGCACGAAGTGATTTGCCCCCGGAATAAATTTATACTCGATCGCCTTCGCATCTGCAGGTCTCTGTTCCTTCTCATCATCCTGCACCGCCCACAATGCAGCAATCGCGAATCCGCATGTCTTATCCCCACACAACACCGACCTTTTCACATCTGGAAATACTTCGGGGTCGAAAAACGCCCTACGGTAAGCCGGCAAGAGCTGCTTGGAGGATAAAACCAAGAACGGTAGGTCCGTCATGGCATCATCTCCATGACGCTGGATGGCTGCGGGCATTCCGTTGTAAAACGAAGGCACTCTGGAGGGAGAAGCCAGCACCCAGGACAGTTTATTGAGATTGCGCCCCGAGAGATCGCTATGGTCAAAATAGGAAGTACACCACCGCCCGAAAGCGGCTATGCGAAGATCTTCTGGGACGGTGGGATCTCCAAGGAATGACCAGTACTGCTTTGGGGTGGGTAGGCCGAGCGCAATTGGTCCGGGTTCTACACGGTCTATTTAGACCTGGCAGGGTCCGAAAAAGAGTATGAGCTCACCATAAAGGATGACAGAGCGTACATATCTCTCTAGACGTTTCTGAATGTCTTCAGGAAGCGTACCAACACTCGATATCGCCAAAGACACCAAGGCCGTACCAAGCGACCATCCGAGAAGTGCGACGCCACCCCCACCACAGCTCGAGATCGGTGGAAGGTTGAATTTCCGTATGAACGTATCGATGAAGACAGCAATCTCATGTCCGCGGGCCTCTAAGAAGGCTCCTCGCTGAGCATCGTCATTATCTGCGGATTGCAGGATATCCAGCTCTTCCACAGAATACGGCGTGGAACCGGGGAAAGGACGTCGGCTTAGAGCTACAAATCGGACTCCTTTGCTTGGTGCGAGGTCTATTACCCGCTGGAAGATTTCTGGATGTGTGGTGTAAATACCGGAGTAATAGATTTTCTCGGCAACAGTACGCACCCTTTGTGAATATCATGCCATGAATAGCAAATATAGTGATATACGAGGACTGTGTTGGTGCGCCGCTGTCGATATAGGAGAGCTCGGCTCCGGTCAAGAGGTTGACTACTATGGAAGTGAAAGCCATGATAGCGAGATCAGCGAAAAAAACTGTGGTTCCGGAGGTCTACAATTATATATCATCAGGATAGTGGGAGGATTTCTCCGCTTCGAGGTGCTGCTGGCTGGCAAAAATGCGGCAATCACGCTATAGTCATGCGCATGACCCTCCCGCTAGCGAGCCCCGGGTGTGTTTGGAATTGAGTCGGAAGTCCACTTGAGAGCACGCAGACCCGATTGGTCCGCTGTGTCCATGGGCGCTAATGATGAGCGGCTCTTAAGTATAGCTGCGTTCAATTGACGGGCTTCGCCAGTCGAAGAGGAAAGGAGGTCGATTACTCAAGTATCAACAAAACACTGGAAGGACGCGCAAGTTTACGATTCTGTACACTGCTAAGAAAAACATACGAAAATATTCAGGTCCCCCTCTCCTACATTATGTTTGGGCAGTCAAGATGCGTTGTAACCTGTACTGAATATTTGCTGAGTGACGACAGGCAATAGAGTTGTTGGGATTTTGCTGGAAAGTTCTAGAAAGGGCAATCCGGCATCATGCCGAGAGTTGATGAGTAAGCCCGAGAGAAAGAGAAAGTTGTAGTAAATTCTAGATACAAGCCTGGAGAGTATAAATACGAGCTCTGTAGGAGCTGCAGAATAAGGAGTTCATACCTTCTGGCCTTACCAGCCTGGAGTCTACCCTGCGCATCACCGAGGATTTCCAACAAGAGTGTTGTCCATGCTTTAGATTAGAAATAAAGTGTTGTCACGATTCCAGTGGCCAGTAGCTAGAAGCGAATCAAAAGGAAGCGCTCAGCTGGTCCCAAGGGTAGAAAAAAGCAAGAAAGTCGCGGATGTTGTCGGAGGCCGCGGCACGGTGAGCCGCGGCAGACAACCCCGGTCCGGTGCCGATGGTTGATGGAAGTTAGATGAACAGGGTGGTTGTTCAAAGTCAATGCTTAGCTGTCTTGATCCGACGGCTTGTCTTTTCTTCAAATTCATTGTCTTTTCGTCTCATTCATATTTCATTCCGTATTCCTCCCACTCAGTCTCACTAGTATATATAGGTAAAGCAAGCAGTAAGCATTCTCGCCCTCACACTCACTGCTCGCAGACACAGTACATTCCGCTACCGAATTTCTCCCACTCACCTCCCTAGTTACAATTTCTTTATATTCTCTTACATTGCTCTATCTCGTACATCCATAGTTAGCTTGGGTGCCCCACTTTCAGGCTCTCAAGAACTCGGTTTCCAATGTATCTCACATTGACCCATCTCCACTCCCGAAGTTTCCTGCAAGCACTCGGAGGACTTCCTCCGACACTTAAATGAACAGTCTAAAGCATTGAATTCAGAATCTCAGGAACTCTAAAGCAGATACACTGCTGGCATGCAAGGAGACAAATATATAATTTACGGCAAGAGAACGCCCTGTGTTCCTAACGACCTGTCCGTTACTATACATAATACATTGATGATCACATTGGACACTAGTAGTACAATAATTATATCAACCTACTCATCGAGTCACATTTCTCCGTTTCGAATTGCGTCAGCACTGAGAACATAACCTGTTATGCATAAAGTCATCTCTGCGTTTCAATGGTGTCGGGTATCCCTTGACTCTCTAAATCATCTGCGACCAGATGAGACTTCTCTTTCAGCGCACGTATGGATCGTCTTGTCCGAATCCATCGATACAAAATCAGGGCGACCACCATGAAGATCGCGACTGCTAAGATCTCATATTGAGTGTTCACACACGAAGTTATGCTAGCGTTGCTCGTATCGCTGGACCGATCGACCAATGACCGTTTAATGTTGTGATGCGGTTAGCGAAATGTCGTAGGGGAGAAAGGAGATGATGGACTTGGGGGTTGAATACTCAGGGATTGCAGTAGGAGCAGGAAAAAGGTAGTATGCTCGTTTCCCATACTTAAATGCTACAGATAATGATGAGCGAGAGAATGTCTGATAGCAGAGGGCGTATCTCGACTGGAGTGTAAAGCGGGTGATGGTTTTAGGAGGTCATTGCATAACTTATATACTAAATCGCGTTCGGTGGATGTGATGAAACTCTGAGACTCAATCAAGGGGCATGAACAAACTTTGGCACTTACCGTCATCGATTGGATGCACAGCAGTGATATAAAGCGTACGCAGCGTAAGCAACGAATGACGTAGCTTGCAGGTTGATGAACCTTTGAATAGAACTTTTAAAAAAGCAGCACCTGACACAGCAACAATTGTATTTCTCCTTGTTAGAGGGCTTGGTTACCAGGCTAGTTTCATTCTTATTTTGTCTTGACGTGAGGCGCTCAATATGTGGACGGCTAAGGCAATGAATAACTGCATCGAGAAGAAAGGGTGTTAGTACCCGAGTCTTTGCCTCTCGGAATCATCCAACCCCCTGCGATTAGCCGGGTGCTTGGGGCTGATAGTTTACTTTGCTGGAACTTTCCGCACGTATGGAAACGTTAAAAAGAATTTAGCGTCCTGGGAGTCGGGATAAATGAAGGACCAACTTGTGCACCCACGTCGTGGCTGGACATTAGAACGCGTCAAATTTTAGAAGGGGAAGCAGTGCTTAGTGCTTAGTGCTTATGTTCCTCGACGCCCTGCTTCAGTTTTTCTGCATATTTTTTTTCCCCGTCATTGTTCCTAGAATTCCAGGCTCTTGCACCACAGAAATATATCATTTCAGGTTTCGGGGAATAGTAAAAGATCCGGTTCCGAAGCTCGCCGAGCCGCTCTGTCAGGGGATGATATTAAGGCGGGAGCCAGGCACCGTTGTGGAAACCGCCGTAGAGCTAAACCAGTGTCCTTGTCCTTGGTGGATCATTAATCATCTTTTAGCGCGCTATTATTGCTAGGAACTTCCATAATATCATGATACACATGATGGAGCTCCTGAGGGCCTAGTCGTCGGGGTGTTTTCTCTATTTTTCATATAGAGCAGAAGGTATAGTATGTGAAGAATTGACTCCAAAATAGGATATTATCATGTTACATTCCCCAAGCTTGTCGACTTTTCAGGGACGATATAGAAGATGAACTTCACTGTCGTTTCCACGTCCAGTTCTCATGTGTTCACCTTTAATTGGAGAACCTGCGAAAGAATCATTAATTATTATGGTGTCCGTGTACATTAAGGCAAGCTTCTGTCTGTGATTCTCGTTCCATGATCAAGCATTTCACTGCAAGTCATGTCCAACTGTTCACACACGAGAAATACAGTTGCATGGAGCATCTGAGTCTCGATCTCAATGCTTGGATGATGCTAGCTATGATGCCAGCTATGAGGAGATATATCCCCAACGAACTCTATGAAATCAGAAAGCTCTGATTCCGGGTAAGTAACACAATCAGTTTTCTGGTTACAACGTAATGTAACAGGTCTTCCAGTTCTACGGCCGCTTGGGGTACTTGTTCTGGGGTTTCTCGGTCGTGAGTTGGAGGTTGACTAGAGTGTAGTGAGGAGTGGGTTTCGTGGTGTAGTTACCTGTATCCTTGCGTCCGGCGTGCCTGAAGGTACCTTGCCGTATAATATACCCGTCTATCTCTTTGCTAGATGAATGTCAATTTTTTCGAGTACGTGAGAGAAAGGGAGAGGAACACCAACCCCATAGCCTTGGCAGATATCTTGCCGAAGTCAAACGTCGCGCTGCCGCACCGGCTACCACAAATTGCACGATCAGAGCCGAACAGATGGGATATCCCCTTATACTGGGTCGCTTCCTATTTTCAGGCAACCCCAGACCCAAATTGAGGTTTCCAAAGAAGCGATCTATGGCGAAGACAGCGTGGATAACAGGGTACTTCGTATTTGAGCCTACATTACATGCCAGGTGAGAACGATTCGCAGGTACTGCAGTACCGTTCATGTACGGGCATCAGGTTCGCCGATGACTAGAGAAACCGAGCTAAGTGGAAACAACCACCGAGGGAAAAGACCAATGAAGCTCCTCCTCATTGGCCGACTACTGTGAAAGCACGCATACCCAGGTTGAATGGCGCGAATCGCACATTTGAAGATCATGGAGTTATCCATGGCCAGTAACTACGTCCAGCGGCTGTTCTTGTGATTAGAGAAAAAGTAATTTTCGGAGCAAAATTTCTTCGAAGTGTTCAAGTTATATCTCCATACGGCTTTTCATGATGCTACGTAATAGAAGATATATCGTCTGAGGCAGTAAGAATGTAAGAACGCTCTCCGCAATAGAGGCATATGCTGCCACGGGGAATTGGAAAGTATGGGAGCCAAGCCTAAGGGTAATGATGGTGGGAGTGGCGCTGCGCGTTGCCGGTTCTCTTGCCGCACATTAACCGCGGCTTGACCGCGGCATCGAACCACGGTACCGGTTGCGATTTCCCCCTTTCGCCGTCCTTCAAAGATTACACTTAGCCGGTGCCCAGAGGGGCCAGTGCGAACCGTGTGGGTCGTTCCCATAGCCCCGAGTATCGCTGTCTCCTACTTGCATTGCTTGGATAGACCTTAACGTGGGAAGGTACGAGCAATTTCTTCAGGAACCCGAATTTTTTCCGTTATATAGTTGCGGGGGACTCGGACTTGCCCTTCTTGTTACGATGTGCACAATATATCAGTGTCCGTGCGCTGTGATGAACGAAGTTACGGTGGTACCTCCCCGCGAGTCTGCTTTGAGAACAATCTGGTATATCGCTTATCTCTCCATTCTTTCCGAATACCCGTGTTATTCCTCATTCAAGTCCATGATTCTCAATCTTTGAGGTGTTTCACAGGCTCCGGAACTTCTTTTTTCTCTTTCCGATAAATTGTTCGGAGGAGCGATGGATGCGAGTTCCTAGCGCTTTAGTCAGGGAACAGAAGACCGTATATGAATCGGTGCTCTCTATGTCGTCTCATTGAGAGAAGGACCAAGGTCGCGGCAAGTAATATATATGTTCATGAACCTTTTTTCTCTCGCTGACAGTTCTTTACAGTTTGTTGAAGTGTAAAACAAGTAGACGATTATCGTTAGAACTTCTCTTTGGACACGCGTCAATACTCACGTCATTTTAGCTCTGATCGAATCAACCGAAGAACTTGTTTGATATTGCCCTGTATTCTGACCATGGAAAAAAATCAACTAAAAACCACGATAATCGCCATCCAGATACGTGGGCCGTGTTAAGTCAAACTCTCAGGTTTCACCTTCATCTCCCTCTTAGCTGTATACCTTCCCAGGTGATCGCATACGGCACAATTGTCTCTAGCGTGAACAACGCTAAATTCAATACGTTTGAAATACAATCTGGCCTTTCGATTCATTGCAATTCAATGGTGGAGTGGACTGTTTAGTGCCTTGTCATCCAACAGCTGAGGCGCAGGTCTAGAGAAGCATGGCTTGAGTATACCGCCATTCTTCTCATGTCCTATTACTAACGGTTCTCCAAGGGTGCCTAGCTATAGCAGTCACGAACACCACGTCCTGAAGTGCTCAATAGAAAGCGTGGAAGTTCCCATCCGAGCCTCGGTGCTCATAAATACCTCAACTCGAGTATAAAATGCGTAGAAGCTACCGTCTGACTTTCCAGGTCAGCATGGCTTTCTCCCTCTCGTCTTTGCTCGTCATTTCTCTCCTTTTCGCCAGCTCTTATGCTCAGCGCGAGGGAACCATTGGCCCTACGGGTAACCTCGTCATTTCTGATGGTGAGGTCGCTCCCGATGGTTTTTCACGCGTCGCAGCATTGGCGAACTCGCGCATCGATGGAACACTCATTACAGCAAACAAAGTTGGTTTCTCGACTACACATCTACAATTTGTTTTATGAACACCCCGCTAGGGAGACATATTCCAAATCAACGTCGTCAACAACCTCTCCGACGACTCTATTTTGCAGAGCACGACCATTGTACGCTCCATGTCTCCCGAAGCTTTACGTGTCTCATACACTCCTTCTTTAGCACTGGCACGGTCTTTTCCAGAAGGGTACCGGATGGGCTGACGGGCCCGCATTTGTGAATCAATGTCCCATAATAAAGGGTGATTCGTTCCTATACACGTTTGATACGACCGATCAGGCTGGAACATTCTGGTATCACTCTCATTTGTGTAGGAATCCATTTTAGCTGGATAATTGCCCCTCTTCTGATCCCTATCAATGTAGCGACTCAATACTGTGATGGGCTCCGAGGGCCTCTTGTTATCTACGATCCCAATGATCCACATGCTGATTTGTATGACGTCGACGATGGTACTTTAGCTCGCTTTCTCGTTCTTATTGTTTATTGACTCTGCTGCAGACAGCACCAGTATCTTGACGTTGTCGGACTGGTACCATACACCTGCGAAGCAACTAACCTTCCCGTAATGCCACTTTTTGTCTTTATCCAAACATGGCCACTGATAATGGACAAATAGTACTCCGGATGCGAGTCTCATCAATGGTCTTGGACGGTGAGTTGATATGAAGTTGAAAATGAATGCATAGATAATGATGGGCGGTATAGATCGAGCCTTGGAAACCTTACACAGGATTTATCTGTTGTCCAGGTCACACAAGGAACCCGGTAAGTTTCCAACACAAGTCTGACTGTGCCTCACTCATGGGAAATGCAGGTACCGCATCAGAATGTTGAACGTCGCGTGTGACGCGGCGTTCACTGTGTCTATTGATGACCATTTGATGTGATTTGTCTTCCTTGCACCGTCCACGGTCCTCTTATTCACCAGTGATGCACAGGACAATCATCGAAGCCGACGGTGTGAACCTCGTCCCATATACCGTGGATGAAATCCAGATCTTCGCGGGTAAGTATTTCATCATCTTTATCTTTATTGAACAACGGCTAATATTTACAAGGTCAAAGATATTCCTTTGTTGTTCGTTTCTCTTTCCTTTCCCAGAGATTTATGTGATCTCTGATGTACATCCAAGTTGACCGCGAACCAAGCCGTAGGCAACTACTGTAGGCGAAAGTTTTCCTCATAAAAAGGCCAATCTTTGACTTTGACTTTTTAAGGGATCCGTGCTAATCCCAGTGTGGGAACTGCAGGTTTCACCAGTGGTATCAATTCGGCGATCTTGAGATATGACGGCGCCAATGACGCGGAACCCCCTGTCATCGCTTTCACGAGCGTCCTGAAGATGAATGAGACCCAGTTATCGGTGTGCCCCTTAATTTCCACGTTCGGTTTCCATACACCCTGCTGAATGACGCCTGCCAGCCTCTCGAAAACCCTGGAGCTGTGAGTTTCATTCTGTTCTCACCAATATTCCTAATATCGCTTAAATTTCTTATAGCCCGGAACCCCCGTGGCCGGAGGCGTCGACTATGCTCTCAACTTGGCATTGGCTTTTGTACATCTATTCTTCATTTCAAAGTTTCCATCGTATTAAATAGTTACACAGACGTCAGCCGGGACTTTTACCGTCAACGGTGTCCAATTCGTTCCTCCGACGACTCCCGTTCTTCTGCAGATTCTGAGCGGTGCCCAGGCAGCCAGCGACCTCCTTCCCCAGGGTTCAATCTACCCATTGCCATTGAATTCGACCATCGAAGTTTCTATCCCAGGTGGTGTTATCGGTGGTGGGGTCAGTTCATTTAGTCTCCTGCAGATAATGCATTACCTGACGCCATCTTCAATACTTCTTTTAGCATCCGTTCCATTTGCACGGTGTAAGTCTTCGGTGAAACTTTCCAAGTCGCTTGTTCTCATATACTCTGATTAGCACACATTCGACGTTGTCCGCAGTGCCGGTAGCACCGTGTACAACTACGAAAATCCTGTGAGGCGGGATGTTGTCAACATCGGTGTCGCAGGTGACAATGTCACCATTCGGTTCACGACTGATAACCCAGGTCCTTGGTTCCTTCACTGGTCTGTATCTTTGTACCGCTTTGAATTGATGATGTGTTAATGCATCTCCATAGCCATATTGATTGGCATTTACAGGCGTACGTGTATCCTTCTGTTGACTTTTTTGTGAGATTGTCTGATCGTTTCCGGCAGCGGACTTGCCATTGTTTTCGCAGAAGCTACAGAGAGCTGGAACGGCACTATTGATCCTACTGGTATGGATCATTTCACTCCGTATCGGATACCACGCTTACGTTCCTACAGATCAATGGGATCAACTGTGTCCTACCTATGACAGTACTCCTGCTTCAGACCTTTAAATGAATGAATGTGGAGGATTTATTCCTTGTCTTCAGGCTGCAAACTAGAAATACCAATCCTATTCTGAAATCTCTTAACAGGATATCGTTATTCCCCTCAGTTCTCATATTATGTATTTTCAGTTCGGTGATAGAAAAACTGCGTGTTCGCTTGGCTCCCTCTGTCGCTGCCCACGATGCGTGAATATCTGCCATTATTAAGTGAATTTCAATAGTCCACATGATGTTCAGCCGCCTCGGTGACATTTCGGTGTTTCACTACCTGGATGCGGCTGGCTAAATTATGATGTGGTTGTAAGCACTATTGACTTTATCATTACTCAAAATCACACAGCTATAAAATTACTACGAGGGGCAAACAAAACTGTATGGCATCAGGAACGGATATAGTATAGAATATAAATTATTCGGCAGATGTGAAGGAGGCGGACCATCATCAGCTCGGAACCTGACTTACTCTCCTGGACTAGCACATCTCATTATGGACTACTCAATATCGTCTTGGTCTAGACTCTAAATTCTAAAATTGTTTAGTCAATCTGGGAGAACAATAGATCTGACGGGTGCAATGAGCAAGGCTTTTACCGGTTCGGTTTTTTTTTTGCCCTGTGGGTCGAATGAAAATTTAATTACACATGTTCCTAGATCAAAACCTTTCCCCACAGTACGGCTTTTATTCTGAACCCCAGGCTCCGGCGGGGTCTTCGAAGTTATGGGATCATCGTGACCTCGAGGGTCTCAACGAAAGCATTATTAATAAGACCAGTTGACTGATGCGTGGCGAATATGCCGGTGGTGGATGATCCTTCGGCGGGGCTCTATTAGGATACCACCTTTTATCATCGAGGTCATTGAGGAAGGCTCGAGAGGGTGGGATTCTTCGCCGCTTGCGGTACTGCCATATGAAGAGTGACGCGGCAATCAGAGCAAGCAGACAGGCGCCGCCAACAGCGCCAGCTATGATTGGGGCTGTATAATCATGTTTCGACGACAATGATGCGTCTGTTGAGGTAGCTGATGAGGAGATCGATCTATCAGAATTTATCAGACATAATTGGATCAAGTTTCCGTGTCAGCTCACGTGGAGGTCGGTGTAGCAGATCCTTGAACAGGAGTCTGGGTTACCCTAAGAAGCAGGACTCAGTGGTGTTGACTGCTACGGAAATGCAAGATTACTAACGAGAAGCCAATCACGGGACCTTCGTCTACATGGAAGTGGTCGCTCCAAGCAAACGTGACATTGGTGGCTCCGATGGATATTCTTCGTGAGATTAAGGTTTGCTGGAAAATCTTCCAGGGAAGGATCACTGACGCTTCGGTGGTGCTTGTTTTGATGGCTTCAATGAGGGTCGTGCTACGCGAACGGTTATTCGTCGATTATGCGATGGATAGCTCTCAGCACGAACCCTGTGTATACGAAAACAACGGATACATTGCGAGTCGCAACGAAATCTTTGACCGACAGTATAGACGAGGTGAAGTTCACATCCGGCGGACTTCTTCTCCCAACGACCAGACAAAAATATTGAGGGTCGTCGGAGGTCCAAGTCAGAAGTACCGAAGTATTTGAATTGGCTAGAGGATGAGTTGGGGCCGTAATATTGAGAGAAAAGCCGCGAGATATCGACGCGAACAGAAATCTGTTGAAGTTCGTTCAATAGATGGACAGTGGGATATCAGTATTTGACCTACGCATAGAGCAAAACGGATATCATGAGAGCTGGACGAGAACCTTCACAAGTGATAGCCTCGTAGTTATATAGGCAGATAGGACGAAGTGAATTCAGATGCTTACAGCCTCAAGTTTGTTAGATGAAATGATAAAACGATGTTCGCAAGATGTTCGTGCTGAGCATTAAAAATAGATTTCAAGCTTGGAGCCGCCAATTAATAAACTACTAGGCAGGCAGCCATAGACTTGTTTATTAATATGGCAAGTATTGTCGTCGTGAATTGTCACTGCATGAACTGGCAAATGACAGGAATTCCTAGTTCCTGTTGAGGACCCATGTCAATATTTCCCAAGTAAAATTTAATCAAACAACGGCTATGCGTGAAAGATGGGTCGATCTCGTTTCGAGGAGCCGCTCGATGGAAACTAAGGAGTAGAAAGCACTGCTATGAAGCTGAGGGCTGTGCCGAAGGCTATTTCCCTCTAAGAGCAAATATTGACATAATATCAAAACGTGACCGAGACACGTCGCGTTGTGCGCGTTGTAATTAGTCATCTACCTTTTATTCCTTCAACATCCACGAGCACAAGTCCGGGGCTTTCTCAAGATTTCGACTTTCGACTACAGTACTTGGCAGTATGGATAAAATGAATGTGGTACGTCTTCTCGAAACTCCAATAAGCCACCCACCGACAATTCAGAAGGCTCCGATCAACAACGCGCTAGACGATGACATTTTAATCTTGATTTTTTCTGGTGTCGCGGCAGCAGAGATAAAGCGTCCAGCGGTACGGGCCATCTTAAAGATGTCTTTTGTTTGCAGACGATGGAGATACGTCGCGCTCTCCTTTCCTGAGCTATGGACTGACATCGACGTATCTCTAAATAGTCATCGGCCTCTTGTGTGGCACAAGAAATTTTTGGAACTGCAGCAATTTAATTCTTCGTTTTACCAAAAGGAGCGACAGGCTGCCAGAATTGGTCTGCTCAATCTCCGACTGCACCGTGCAGGGGGTTATAAACTCTCCGTCACAGTGCATGGCAGTGACCTTGAACCTTATGTCTCGCCATGCATAGATCTTATAAGTACCAGAGTCGAACGATGGAGAAACTTGGATGTATTGTCGTCGTCATTGCCCTCCCGACACGTCTCCTGGCTCATCCAAGGTATTCCCTCCTTTGATGGCCCCGAGAGTCTCAGAGTGGCGGACCAATACCTCAAACACTTCTACCGACTTCGAGCAACAGAGCCAACTATGCCTTTGCTATGCACCTTCCATACGCGAGTCAATCCCCTCCACGCAAAGTTCCCCTCATCGCTGAAGATGCTCCCACGTCTCGGAGTCTGGAGCGCCAACGTCGACACCATCATCTGCGAGAACTACCTTTGCTGGTTCCCTCTCTTCAGAAATGCCCTAAATTTAACAATCACTACCACAGTAAAGCGGAGAACCGAAGACACCGAATCCATGCGCGGCATGTTGCAGATGCCAGGCGTCCACCAAGTTGAGAATATCACCAGCTTGACCTTAGACATTAATGTGGATACGCACGACATTCGCTGGCTTGGGGAGCATTTCTGCTTTCCTAATCTCATTCATGTCAAGATATCTTATCACAAAGATGGCAGGTATGGACCTGAGGGAGATGCTGCGCAAATGATCTACATGCGCTATCCCTTCATAGCCGCATTTGTGGAAAATCTGCTCCAATTCTCCCCTTCCTTATCCTCACTCATCCTCGATAAAGTTCCCATGCGAATGTCCCAGGTCCTAGAGCTCCTTGGGCCACTTACTAGCCTTATCAGGCTTGTCATTCATGAACCTCTTCCGTGCCGCTACGGGACACCCATCGAACCTCTGTTCGCGCCGTACTACCCCATCTCAGGCCGCTTCATTGAGGTACTATCAAACGATGCGTACTTCGTACTTCCTGCCTCACCTGAAATCGCTGGAATTCGTGTGGCGGCACGAAGTGGATGAAGAGGTGCTCCTCGAGATGCTCGAGCGTCGTCGTGAGATGACTTTGGAGGACGTGTTCTTGGGGTCCAAATACCCGGGACCAGAGATAAAGGATGAAACACGGCAGCGCTTGAGAAGACTTCGGGAAATGGGACTTTGTCTTCGCATTCTGTATTGAACGCGGTGAACTAATGATTGCTACATATTGTATCTTAGGTCGATGATTCAGTACGTAGAGAATTGTATATATATATATATATTGCCTATATGTAGAGACTGTTGTCATGCCGGTTCCCAGACCGGCGGAAATCTGATTTAAAGAGGGAGAAAGGAGCTTGTTACGTGCACATCCATATCCTCCTAGACTATGATTCTCAGCAACTCATAAATAAGCCAGAAAAATCCTCAATGCAGATCCAAACATGTAGATATCCACGTCACCGACCACAGAATGTTTACCCTGTAAAACCATCAGATCACAAAATGGATAGATTGCCGTACTCCTACTTTTTCGGAGGCATAGCGATGCTAAAGACAGTTGATAGCTATGTGCGTCAGAATGACTGAGACGGGACCCATCGACCAGGAACAAGTAATACAAGCAAAGTTGTAAAAAAGGTGAAGCAGTACCCACCAGAAAATGCCGGATGAATGATCAAACGTTGCTTTGCCTCAGTCTCCATCAAAAGAGCTCTCCTTGTTTTTTCTTCCTACAATTACTGGTTTTCACAGAATGCCACTGTTTGCATTGTTATTGTTGGAATCTGCGAGAGAGTTCGAGCAATCCGGCAATCCGGCATGCTGAGTAAGGAAAGAATCCGAGGGAAATTGAAGGAATTAGATAGAAACTACTAGAAAAGGAGTAGTCTAGTATAAATATGAGAAGTCCCCCCCCCCTCCAGCCGTTCAACACACTCCAATTAAAAAGAAAGCTGCTGGTCATGGACCCCTTCACTGTCAAAAACCCCTCAATGATAGACAGGCATCTCAAGCTTGCTGAAGAGATGTGTGGCATGGCTTAGAGTCCCATGTCAGCCCATGACTTTATGAATGAGTTCTTGCCATGGAATGAAACCACTCCATTGCAATTCAGAAAACTCCAGCCCAGCAAAGATTGAGTCAAGAAATTGATGGACATGGCTATGGCTTCTGAAGCCAAAACATATGAATTATTTGTATGTTCTTCAAGATAGCCCATGCTACATTTGCCTAATATTTGCTACAGCTTGAAACTTCCTCTGGCTGGCCTTTTGACCTCAAACCTGAAGACTGATGTCCCAGATATAAGTTCTGTGGTTCACTCTCTGTGGATGTCAGTGCTGTTGATGTCAGTTGCCAGACTATCAGATGTTGTGATACCTGCAAACTCGATTTTGCTAACATTAAAACTCACACTGAAATGAAGCTAAAGGTGTCAGATGATCCTTACTGTGACAGAGATGCTGTATCAGACAGAAAAGAAGATGATGGAATGTCTTGGATGACAGTCTGGTAAGGAATGAATTCTGATCTATTGCAGAATGGCCTTCTATCTACACTGTCTTTGTTGTGGGATGACACAAGTACCTGATGTCAACCTTATATAAGCATAGACAGTTTTGTCCTGAGTCAATGGTCAATTGCCTTTAAGCAATTGACCATTGTACTCAGGTAAGTGATAGTCATATGTACCTCAGCCTTTAAGCAATTGACTGTCATACTCAGTCTGGCCTATTATCCACTGCATGAAAGTAACCTGCCTGCAACAGGTTATGGGCTCCACACTTTAAGGCCTACTTCATTTTTTTTCTTCACATCTTGCTTGTGCCCTGCTATCTCTCCATCAGTCATTTCACTACTGAAATGATATCACCACATACATCATGCCATCCTTCGACACAATCAAAAAAGGCTTTGACAACCTAAATGCCTACAATTATGGTGAGTGGGAAGAAAACATGTTGGCTCTACTCAAAACTCGCTGTGAGTACCTTATCACTATTGGCTGTGACCCTGAACCAGAGTTTGCAGACCCCAAGAAGCCAACATACCAGGAGAAGAAAGACTGGAAGGACTGGAAGGAGACTCAGATATTGGCTGCTGGGACAATCTATCTCTGCCTTGATGATCCAGAGAGGATGTGGGACACATTAAAGGTGCACCATCAGCAAAGAAAACTGGCGACTCGATTTGTAGCCTATGACAGCTTCTTCAATCTCAAGAAGGAGACAGAAGAATCACTTCCAGATCTTGCCAGTTGGAGCACTCAAATCATGAGTCATATCCATGCTCTGCATCCTGCTCATTTTGGTCTCCAGCAGTTAGAAGAAGAGCTTCTCATTATGGCCCTGATTTGCACACTCCCTCAGCCTGAATTTGGAAACTTCATCACATCGCTATTCCTTTCCTCTGATAAACTCACTCTTGAAGGACTCCACACTGCATTTCACAATGAAGAAAACAATCAGAAGCTGCATGCCAGTGATCCAGCAGTCTCCATTGCTCTCAAAGCCACACCTTTCTATTCAGCCATGAATCCAGCTACCAATGCCACTGCAAAATGTGGATGGTGCCTTCATGAGAATCATGCAGAAGAAGAATGTATAACCAAGAAGCTCTCACTTAAATGGGACCATGAACATGCTGCTGACCATACTGCTGAGAAGCATCATTACAAGGGGGCTGAAAAGAAGGATTTGGAAGCTGCTAACTCTGCCGAGACAAAGGAGGAGACTGCTAGCCAAGCAAGTACTGATCTATCATCACCTGCTATATCTCATTGGAATACTGATACAGGTGCTTCTCATCATATAACCCCTCACCAACAATGGTTCTGACTCTATACTCCACATGTCATTCCCATTCATCTTGCAGACAATTCAGTCATCTATTCAGCAGGGATTGGGTCAGTAGTATTAGAGCCAGAGATTCAGGGGGAGAAAGGCTCAGCAGTGGAACTTCTTGACACATTATATGTACCAGCATTGAAAAGTAATCTCTTATCACCCTATCATCTTACACAGGAAAAGGGATTTAAGATCTCAATCGCTGGATCAGATGTCACTTTCAGCCAGGGTAAAAAGATTCAATTCACAGCAACTGCAAATGAGAGCAATATCAGCTATGTCAATGTTATCATACATTCATTTTCAAAATTGGCTACTATCATTGCAAACTCAAGCACCACAAGTACCTGCCAGATGGACAACACACTTTGGCACAGACATTGCTGTCATCAAAACATGGACACTATATGGCACATGCATACAAAGCAGCTAGTAACTGGAATGAAGTGAGAGTCAGGTCCCCCAACTGATCCTATCTGCATACCATGCTTCACTGGCAAACAGCATCACCACAATGTTTCTCATCGCCCCTCAGAGTGGAAGCAACACCTTTTTGAGCAAGTACACAGTGATATCAAAGGTCCAATGCCTGTCATAACTCCAGAGGGCTATCATTACTGGATAACATTCATCTGCAGTGCATCTGACACTTGGGCTGTCACACCTCTGAAGTATAAAAGTGATGCCTTTAATGCTTTCAAGCAGTTCAAAGCATATGCAGAGAATACCCACCCAGGACTCAAAATCATTGAGTTTCAGGAAGACAAAGATGGTGAATATATGAGAAAGGAGCTTGTTGACTTCTGTGCTGAGCATGGGATCAAAAGGTGACATACTGAACCTGATAAACCATACCAGAATGGCACAGCAGAATGAGCCAACCACACAATTGCAGAGGCCATCACTGCCATGCTAAATGAGTCACATCTTCCACCATCATTTTGGAACCTTGCTCTCCGAGTATTTATTCATGTCCAAAATCGCATCCCCACAGATCCTCTTCCAAACACCACACCCCTCACAGAATGGGACCCAAATCACTGAAAACCAGATATATCCCATTTTCATGTGTTTGAATACCTTGCATATGTGCTAGTACAAAAAAAAGGATGCTGAGCATTAGAGTCACACACCTAAAAATGTATCTTTGTTGGATATCCAGAGAGAGTAAAAGGCTGGCTATTCTAGAACACCTCTACACAGTGGTTCATCACCTCCAGCCATTCAATGAGTGTGTATTTTCTGAAAATCACAGAAATATTATAAATCCTCTTAGTGATGATACATCTCCCACAAACAGACATAACAGCACAGATACTGCTATACCTGATGTGACAATGCCTCATCAAGGGGGAGAGAACATACCTACTGATAAGCCATCTTCACCATCTGAGCAACTCTCATCATCACCATCCTTGCCAGCTCCATCCACTCTATCAAATATGCAAACACCTCCAGGATCACCTCTTACTCCACTATCAAGTCTTCTGACATCTCCTACACTCTCTTCACCACCTTCATATCCTCAGGCATGCTTCAAGCCACAATACAACTCTAAAGGTCTTATAATTCCATCTCCAAACACTGGACATGGTTTTCACCATAAACATTCTGGCACCAATGCAATGAACTCACCAGACTCAGATGATCCCATTTCTGATCCCATTGATGAAACCACTGCTGAGCCAGAGCTTACTGAGACAGATGTTGTTGCAGGAATGATCTTTGTATTGCACAATGATGACTATATCACATATACAGAAGCTCTTGAGCTTGCATTTCAGACAGCAGTAGAGATGGCAAATCAAGCATCTGCATCCAATGATGAACCAAAGACACTTGCAGAGGTGATGACTTGGCCAAGAGAGGAAAGTGAAAAATGATATGAGACAGCTCAGCAGGAATTAAATGTGCTGCAGGAGAGTGGCACCTTTGAGCTTAAGGCTATAGGTGGAAAATAGGTCTTGAAAGTGAAGTGTAACTCTGATGGATCTATTGAACACTACAAGGCATGCTATGTTGCAAAAGGGTACTCACAGTGGCCAGGTTTTGACTACACTGAAACCTTCTCTCCTACTCCAAAATGAGCAGCCATCCAAATAGTCCTCACTCTTGCTGCACTTGAGGACCTAGAGCTCTGGAGTGTGGACATCTCATCAGCATTTCTGAATGGTGATCTAAAAGAGGAGGTATACC